AGAGAGCGGTGAGAGCAGTGGGTTGTGAACAGAGGTAGTCTCTGTGCTGCCACAAGTCAGTCACCAGCTGATTCTTCAGAGGAGGCAGGTACGCAATGAAGTCGGATTTGTAATCGGCGCTGCGGTCCAGGAGTTCACTGTCATCTCGGCGCAAAAGAATGTCTTGCGCGGCCGACTCGACGGCGATTCTGGTGTCCTGCGGCAACTCGTCAAAATTTCGCGGAACCCTGTGGTGAGAGAAAAACGTAAGACGCCTGTCAGTATGTCACAGTTAACAGTAAGAGGAGTAGGTTCTTCTTTGGCTGATGGCGTTCGGGTGTTCTTTTTTAAAAATGGAGGAGCGTAAGAACGTAGTCCTCAATCCTTTTCCGTGCCATGTTAAAAATAACGTCTCACTTAAAAAAAATGAAGTAGATAACAACCTGTGTTGTCATCCTCTTGAGCAAGCCAATAGAGAAAAAATTTGCTGTAAACGACAGGTATCTTTAATTCCAGCCGGTAACATGTTATTACTGAGTATAGTTGAAATTTCATGAAGTCTACTTGTGCTCTCGGACAGCCAATGGACCCGCACATCTAGTCTCGACCAGGGAGGAATGAGTTCGAAAAATAGCCCAATTCTTGGCAATAATTATCAGCATGATTCAATTAACTATAACGCGTTTATAAATGCCACATAAAACTAGTCCATCGGTACTCTGATACGATGAGTGTAAAGTTGTTTAAAAAATACAGGAGTAAGAGGTATAAATGTTGCCGTTTTTCGACGTTGAAAAACGTACGATCTGTATATACGAAAGAATTACTATTAGCAGAGGCACAGAGTTAATACACTGAACAATATTACCGAGAAAATCGGGGCAGATTTGAATTACCACTTCAAAATTTTCTGTTTCCTTAACTCACTTATCGTCCGGCGCTGTCCAAGTCACACTGAGCAACTTTACATACGGTAACTCATAGAGCCGTGACAGAATACCCCAAATATAGATTTGAGTACAAATAATAAAGTGAAGTGGCAACACCGATGAGAGTGGAGCCATTTTTGAGCCATCATAGTCTTATAAAAAATTATTCAATCAGTAATTTCGAACTCAGTCTGAATTGTCGTTACGTAATTGGCACACATAGATTAAATCAGTTGTCGATGCTTTTCAATAAATAAGTTTACGAAGTTGTCTGTTGCGAACACAGTAACACTTTGGGACAGAAAACTTGACAAGGAACAGAACTTTGGGAGTTCATTTGAATAACCACTTATGTACTTTGCCCCTGGGACGCTATTACGAAGCATCGTGGACGCTAAACATATTTTCACGTATTTAGTGTTATTATATCTCTCATACCAACGGGAAAGTGGAAGAAACTGCGTGAATTACTAAGCAGCTGTAAAATTCAAATAATAAATTCATCTAACTGACTATCTCTGGTGACGTGCAATTACCCAGGAGGTAGCTATAATGGAGTTACTGATTTTCAATTTATTTTAGTATATTTGTAGTTAGAAATAGACTCTAGCTCTTGAACGTCATATAAAAATCGGAAGAATTAGTAGCAAGTTAAAGAAATTACAGCATCAAGTGAATGTAGACCCAGAACTCTACAGTAGAATACTCTGCTATAAAAATGGAAGGAAACGGAAAAAAATAGCATTAATGAGACCGCCGATTCGACGACGATCGCTATAGGTAACTGGAAGGATTTTCAGCATAAAACGGACATATTCATGCTTGTATGCTCTAAATGAAAGCCAACATGCTCTAATAAGTGGTGGTCGCGTCGCATAGCAACGTATAAATCGTTGGTAAGGATGACTTATGCATATGGCCTCCAGAACAGGACATGAGACCAGGCATCGCGAGTGAAAAGTTGGGTTGAAGGTTATAGGTTAAGTTGATCTTACGTAAGTAAGCTTTACCATAAGCTTTAGCTGTAGAGTTAGGAGGAAGTTTAGGGTTGCACTTTAGTGTTGAGACACGGGTTTATGTGCTTGTGGGGGGGGGCACATAAAGCGTCCCTATCAAATAGTTCTCTAGACAAAGTAGCACTTCAAATGTTTGCCATTTGTAAGAGTTTACCTTAGGCGGTACGCAAAAACGTCATACCTTGTCTATGCCGTAAGCGTAGACTGAAAGGTTGTCTACTTGTCCTTGTCTACCTAGTTACACGAGCTAGACTTACTATGAGGTCACATGTCTAAGAAAAGTAGCCGTTTAAACGCAAAGTGCTCGTTTAACTTTCGTTTTTGGTTATTTTCCGACCTAGGAATGTGAATAATAGTTTCAACTAGCGCTCGGCTTCATTTCCCATGGTGGGCTGGTCAACGAAGACCCACGGACACAGGAATATACAGAAAACGTGACTCTTGAAATTATAAATTGGAGAACCATACCCCCAATAGTCTTTCCAAATATGTTAGCAGAGCTAAACAGGTTTTGGTCTCCAACTGCAGAGACAATCGACTAAACTGCACATGTCGGCCTTCCGGTTTTACCTATTCTGCGGGATAAGCCAGTAAGAAAAGAAGACAATATAAGAGTAAACCATGCAGTTTAAGAGGCGGTGAACTGCAATTAAATAAAACTTACAATGCGGCTGGTTCTATGGTTGGGAAGGTAAAGTCGAACATATATTCCGGAAATGCAACCTAGACGACAGAACATAAACACAGAACAAGGTCAAAGCGAACATGTGACTCAGCGCTGATAAACCGAGTAAGCAGGACAGAGGTGAGAGAAAAACTATGTGCAGTCACGTTGGTTTAGCTTAAAAAAAGAGAAGCAAGAGTGAGCGAGGTATGAGTTCTGATGGATTAGCTGCAATCTGTAAATGTTTGGACATGTACTTTGTAGGTTTTTTTTTACCACAGAAGAATTCAGCTTCATGCTACTCGGTTCAGGCCTGGGTCTCTCAGCATTCCCCACGTGGTCTTTCCTATACACTGAAAATTCTAAATGCCACGCTTTTTATTCTCGGAATTTAGCGTGTGAACATGGAGCAAATGCCTTGGCATAAAACGCTGCATTTTTGACCGCTCCCAAGTTGATTTGAACAGATGGCCGGAAATGCATAATTTCCGGTGGAATAATCCCGGATTATGCACATGCTGCCAAAAGGCAGTCAGTTGCGTAGAAGTTGTCGATTCATCCACCCTGCTTGCAGCAAGGCAACTAACTAAAAGCTCAGACACGTGTTTCGCTGCATGAAGCAGATGTGAGCGGTTCGGATCAGCATTATCAATGTGCGCGCTTCCATATCCTCCACTTCCCATAGCTGATTACTTTTACTGTCATCGTGTGAAATAGGAGGAGATTCTTCGGAGAGAAACTAAAAGTGATTTTCCCCCGGTTTAAATATCCATTTTCATGGCCAAACACAGAACGGAATATCAGTTTCAATTCTCCTGTTGTACTCTTTTATACAAACGCTGTGGAGCATAAAATGGACATCGCCAGAATCGACGGTCCAACTGCATAAATATATTCGAAAACTATCATTCAAGATTCTGCAGTTTTAAAACAAATTATTTCCACGCATTCCGAAAGTAATCTCTCGGAAAGAATAACTCTGTCGCAATCTCTTTCTCTGCCAATTAAGTAAAATTATAAAGCGGAGATCAATGAAGAAAATGGCCTCCCTCGTGAGAGAAGGCAATTCGCGCCTGTGCATCATTAAAGCAATAATAATAACCGAAAGAAAATTATAGTTTACATTTCGTCAGCGTAAGCCTCGAAATGCAGAAATTGTCATCTAATAGTACGCGTGGGAGTCGTCCCCCGATTAGGGGCGAAATCGCAGGGATAAAGCAGACATAAGTATCGCGCACTTAATGACGAAACAGCACAAGCGAGCATACACAAAGGCTTTAGTCTGTAGGCCTGAAACCAAGTCCACATGGCTTAGAAAATCGCTGGCGTCATTGACGATAAGTTAGGCAAGGTTGGACTTCACAGGCCAGTCACTTCAGAGTGTCCCGAAAACAGATATTTTTGTAGAAAAGTAAGTGTTTTTTTTTCAAAAACTCCAATGCAACAAAAGCTTTGACTTTTCCAAAAAGACACTTCCCGGGATGCTTAGGGATACGTTAGGTAAAGCAGACCATTTTGCTGCTTAGATGCTTATCACTTTTAAATGCAGAAACTTCGTGTTGTTTTTTTACACATTTAAATGACATAATAAAAGCAAGAACTTATAAGAACTTATAATTGATCTAAAAACCTAATAACAGCCCTTTAGGCTTTAAGGAGAGCCCAGGCTTAGGCAACTGGAAGATAAACAGTTCCTCCGTTTCTCTAATCCTCAGGCCGCGTGATCAAATCCGCGGTTGTCGGTAACCGAGTCTATTTGCTCCTTCTCAAACTCCTGGACATCTAACTTGGACGATAAAGGTAAATTAAGGCACGGTCTACTCATATGGACGATACTTGGTTTGAACTCCAGCTGGTCTTGTCTCAAGCGTACAAGAAGATAAGAAAACGCCATACCTCAACAACAATTCCAGTTGAGGATCGACTGGGTTGCGCAAAAGCAGATCGAAGTTCTGGATGTTTTGATAAAGCCTCATCTGGTTCCCAAAGACCGACCAGCAGCTTGCCTTGGCGAAGGTTTTTACAAACATCAAAGACTGGAATGTTTGCCCAACCGAGGAGGACGCCAGCTCTCACTGATGGAAACAAGGAGACAGAAACACAGAGAATGAACCGATATGCACCAATGACCTAGTGTCAGTGGGTCGAAGACCTAAGGAAGACTTGCCCTTCAGTACTACATGCTAGTAATATTTTGCTTGCTGCAGTGGAATCCCGGTTAACGGGTTAAATCAGTTCCGGCACCGAGTTTTTCATGTGAAACATTCGTCTTGCGAAACGT